ATATCCTGAAGAACTGGATTATTGATGAGGTCCAGGCAAAGTACAGGGATCACATTAACAAAGTAAGGATTGTTTTGCTTAAAGATACTGCCCTGCGTGTGGTGACAGTGAAAATACTGTTACCAGCCTTTGTATAATGCCAAGCAGTTCAAAAAGTTTGATCTTTTGGTAGGGTTTTTTACTTAAATTGGGGGTACCGACATCCCTTGTAACTTACAACACAAATAAAATGAGCCTGTATGGGACTTCTAAGGTACCTTGTTTAAATCAAACCAGACAATATATATAACTTTCTCCATTTGCATGGCATATTGCAGTGACCAGTCCTGAGTATGCAGCTCTCCTCCAACTGTGTCCTCCTGCCCCATATTGGCATGATATGTCCATTAACGTATCCTATAAGCAAGTAGATATTTGGCATTTTTCACTGTAGGCATTTATTGCTACAGTCTAGACATCTGGGATATTGCCATCTTAAAGTACAATATTATGTGGTTTGCAATTGGATTGGGAGCCTCACCTATCATTTACTTCACACACCTAATCACAGAAGACTATCTTATCTATTCTATTTGAATCATTGCAGATGATTGATTTAAGAGAGTGTGGGCTGTTGTACCTTGCATTTGTTCAATAAAGTTGACTTCTGATAAAAAAAAAGAGAGTGTGGGGACAGGTATATACACACATTTATTGCCTGGGTATCTCATGGTCACCCCCCCCATATCCCTTGTGGATTTGTCTCCTGGTCTGGGACACATGGTGGTGCTCACTCAGAGATGGCATAGTTAATGGTGTTTTAACCAACTAACTGCAGTAGTACTGCTTTTACACATTATCCTAAAAAAATGTCAACTCCTGATGTGGGCACAAAGGGCCCTATTTTGCTTTAAGATGTGGTTTGCTTTGCTGTGGACACATTTCTTTCTCTGCTGGGGCCTGAGCGCTGCACAGTAAAGTACCAGTTGGACACTAGGATCTTAAAGGATGCCAGTGTTGCCATCTCTGTAAAAGTATGTGCTCTATAGAAATCATGATTTTTAGAGCTGCTTGCTTTGAATTAGCCTGGTATAGCTAGAGGCATAGGAGATGATTATTAATTTTTCCCCAAATTTGCACTTGTTGTTTAATAGAAATGTAAGCACCCCAGTGGTCTGAGCTTCACTCTAGTCTCTTCTTTATGTTTATACAGGGAGCTCTCCAACACTAGATGTTGCTGGCCTTGTGGCTGGGCTGGTAGCTGGAGTGATAATTCTTATAATGATTGGAGTTCTTATTATGTACTGTGTGAGATACAAGGCCAAAGAGAGGACAAGACAGGGGAGGTAAGTACTTAAATAAGACACATGTGACTGAGTCATGACATGGCAAATGGAGCACAAGAGCAAGCATCCCACAGTCTAGTGCTGGTGGGCCCTTGCATGCCACCAGAAAGGAACTAAATACATCTGAGTAGATTAGCTACCTAGGAACTGCTGTTCGTGGCTATGAATATACCCAAGAATGGAAAAAGCCACCAGACCATATTACTGTCCAACTTGATGGCGATTTCTACTTTCTTCCTGAAATGATAAAACCTCTTTTGAATAGTTGTGGCAACTGCTATCAGCACCTTGAAAATAAATCTAGTGTGGACCCAATGTCAAAATCGGAAGGTCCCTGTTTCTTGATTTGAATGAAGATCAGTTTAGTGAGCTCCATCATTTTGCCTATAGCTAAGATAATGATCACATGATCTCTAACCATAAATGTTTTTTTCTAAAATGAACAAGTAATGATATGACTATTTTCACTGAACTGGTCTTTTCTATATGCATCTAAGAAAACATTTAGACTGTTGGCCATATTTAAGGCATGGCTTATCCAATATACATAGAGATGTTGATGCTCTAGGACAGTGGTGGCGAACCTTGGTACTCCAGCTGTTTTGGAACTACAAGTCCCATGAGGCATTGCAAGGCTCTGACAGCCACAGACATAACTCCCAGAGGCAGATGCATGTTGGAATTTGTAGTTTTGGCACAGCTGGAGTGCCAAGGTTCGCCACCACTGCTCTAGGACAAGAGTAAGCAAACAGTTGTTTCATCACAGTTGAAGGGCCGACGTTTGCCTATCCCTGCACCTGGACGTGTGTATGGTGATGGCCTTTTGGATTTAAACCCGCCATTTAAAGGAGAACTATGGGGTCAGTGTTTTTCCCCATAGTTCTCCTTAGGGTAACGGGAGGACACAAACTAGCGTCCTCCCGTTACCCTAAGCTCAGTATACCGCGAGCTACAGCTCGCGGTATACTGAGACGCCGGAGCGGATTCCGACGTAGATGACGGGATCCGCCCAGCTGCGTGAGTGACAGCTGGCTCTGCCTGTCTAGAGGCAGAGCCAGCTGTACCCGCCCCCTCCCCCGTCCGTTTCGCCAGTCAGCACAGGGCCCTTTGTTCCTTAGCTCCGCCACTGGTGACAGGATCGAGAGGCGAGCGAACCCGGTATGTGTTTGCTCACCTCCCGATCTACTGAGCCGACCTGTGACAGTCTCATTGTCACAGGTCGGCTAGAACTATGAAGTGAGTGAAAAGCACTCACCTCATAGTTCTCCTTTTAATCATGTAAAATTATAGTGAGAATGCTGGTTTTGCTAAGCTCCTGTTGTACCACACAATCCTGCTTCTACATCTATCCAAAGGTGTGCAGAGGTAGTCAAACAAACGATATATGAAATTGAAAAATGAATGCACTGTAAGGGTTGGGGTTTCATGCCATCCTGGGCACAGGCGTGTGTGTACCTTAGGTACACACCTCCTTTGATAGCTGTTTGTATACGTGGGCCATTTGCAGAGAGGTGAATTGCAAGCATAGGAAGGGTATTGTTCTGTCCAGGAGACTTGAAATGTGCTGTATAATTAGGGTGCCATAATCCTGAGCTAGCAGTGAGGGTGTCTCAACCAGATAATTTGCAGGGAATATATTCCTGCACCCTGAGAATTTAAAGAAGTCAATCAATACTTTAAACTGTGCAGTGGCGGAACTACCAGGGTCGCAGAGGTTGCGACCGGGCCCCGGAGCTCCGCCACTTGGAGGGGGCCCAGGACAGGAGGAAGGGGCCCCTGGTAACCGCTGATTACCAGGATATTTATTATCCCGGTAACCGCTAATGTCAGTCCCGGGACCTCTTCCTCCTGTCCTGGGCCCTACATGCTTCACGCTGCTCCCCTCACCTGGTTCCGGGCGCAGCGTGAAGTATCATCCAGCCGGGCAGCAGCCAATGAGTGGGAGCGGTGTAATCCCGCCCCCTCATCACACAGAACTGCTGCCCAGTGCCGACTAGAGCTGCCGCGGACACGAAGGGGGAGACGGAGCTGGAAGTATGAAGGTGACATGGGGTCCGGGAGCGGAAAGCTGGGGACATGAAGGGGGAGATAATGGGGAGCAGGGGGCATGAAAGAGAAGAGTGGTTTTTGTTTTGTTTTTCCTTGTCTAAATTTTGTTTAAAAAAAAAATCTAATTTGTTTCTTCTTTGGGGGGGGGGGCCTTCATGGATTTTTGCATCGGGGCCCTGGGGTCACTAGTTACGCCACTGAAACTGTGTAATATAAGGGCCCACTTACACAACCTTTTCAATTTGTATCTAGTCATGCATGTCCCTCGGACTGTATATGGTAGTTAATGGTAGGTACTAAGTACAATCAGATTGTAATGTATATGGCCTGTGTTAAGCTCATCACACAAGTTAAAATCCAGCTGTACAATCTCTTTACAGTCGCCTTTAGATATACTACAGCTTTGTAATGCAAGGACCTACCTAGACTTTCCAATAAATGTTTATCCTATCAGGCTGGCTTGGTACTGGTACATAGTTGATATATCAAAACAAGATTGCTCAGTCATATTGTAATGTGTGTGGTAAGCTTTGGAAAGACAGCTGTGTACAATGCAATAGAGCTTAATTGACTAAGAATGCCACTCACCCCTCCTCCAGTCCCTGTCACTGACAAGACAGGTTCAAGTTTATTGTCTAAAGCTTGTTTCTTTTTATTTCTGTATCAGGCCCCCAGTAAACCTTACTAGCAACATACCCCTTACTGAAGCCATGCCATTGACAGAGCCACCTTTACATGGACCTGCAGCCCCGGGACTCCCATCATATGATGAGGCATTGGAAGCATCAGGCACCTATGATGCACCTCCCCCACCGTATCAAAGGTAATTTCATGTAAAATCCAGATTAATACTTGAATATTTGAATGCCGGTCATCAAATCCATTGTTAAACAATAGGAAATGAATGGAAGGTCATATGATTGGCTGCATTACCATGTGTACCTGGTTCTTTTGTTTTTCTCCCAAATGTTATGGATGTTTAGCATGTGTGCCAAAATCCACATTGGTCAGGGTTTATCATTACCGTACATGGCCATAGCTGTTGCAAACCAGCCTGCTGAATGCTAAGAACCTGGAATGTTGGAAGGGCTGATCAGTCTCTAGATGGGTCAGCTTTAGGCCGTTTCCGTGAGACTTTTAAATTTTAGGCGCAAAACAATTTAAAAATCACCATAAAAAATCATCAGCTGTGAAATGATCCCTTAAAAACAAGGCAATACATAGAGTATGAGCAGATGCCAAGTTAGAACTTATATAAAAGCATGAGAGAATGACCTACTGCTGATACACAATCCCCTACATATCTCTAAAGAAGTAGTACAGACCCAAGTGGCTGAAATGAAATGAGTTGCACCTGAGGAAACAGGAGGGTATTTTTAAATATTTTAAAAATATGGGGGAGGGGCGGGGGTAGATAATCGTATTGTATGACATTAGGGTATGCAACATTTTTAACATGAATTGTTGAATGCTTTATATTGTATATGAATGTTGTGCAGTTTTGAAAAAGGGGGTTTAATTTGGTGTGGCAATGTATATTTTGAATTGTTCCAGCATGCACACTCAGCAGTGCTGATCTATGCATCATAAATGCCTTGCACAATGTCGTGAGAGCCCATAAAACCATTATGCATCATTATGTAAATATGGGCACGAGAATAGAGAACTACCATGCCAGCTCAGGTGGGAATGGGATTTGAGATACAGTCACCCTAATGTATATGCAGTACAATCCAGGAGTCTGTTTATTATACAGGACATTACAGGTGTACTTTTAGCAACTAAGGACAGTGCCCTGTGTTTTAGGGTTTCCCAGTGCACTCTACAAAGTAGGTGCCAGTACATGCAAGCCGATCTAGTTGGTGACTTTACAAAATAAGCTCCCACATTAGTAGTTTGAAGTGAACACAGGTATACTCAAGCATACACAAGCATGGTAACATGCTTGATCTTGTTTTCTCCCACCTATGCACTTCTTGCAACCTCTCCAACAACCCTTTCCCCCTCTCAGACCACAACCTGGTCAGTTTCACAATCACCCTGTCCCCAACACGGACTCCCCCTACAAGGCACACTGTCACCCAGAGAAACCTCCACCACCTCGACCCTTCTCTTCTCCACTTTGCTACTGACTCCCTCTTTGACAAAATCTCACCCCTATCCTGCCCTGACCTGGCTACTTCTGTTTTTAACAACTCACTCTCAACCTCCCTAAACACCTTGGTTCCCCTCACTACACGCAGACTTAGACCACGTCCGCTACAACCGTGGCAAACTGAAGTTACCAGACATCAAAAAAGACAAAGCCGCACTCTGGAGCAACTGTGGTGGAAAACAATTCCTCTTGCTCTATCCTAGACTCTCTTGCTCACATTTTCAATCTTTCCCTCTCTACTGGAATCTTTCCTACCCCTCTCAAACATTCACTAGTCACCCCAATACCCAAAAAACCTTCACTGGACCCTACCAGCCTCAATAATTTCAGACCCATCTCCTTACTCCCATTCACCTCTAAACTAATAGAACGCCTTATCTATAACTGCTTGAGTTGCCACCTTGCTAATAACCTTTTGGACCCCTTTCAGTCTGGCTTTTGCCCCAAACACTCCACTGAAACCACCCTCCTAAAACTCACCAATGACCTAATAACCGCTAAAAACAATCGCCACTATTCCTTAATCTTGCTATTAGACCTCTCTGCTGCTTTTGACACTGTTGACCACCTGCTGCTCCTCAAAAAACTCCACTCGCTTGGCCTACAAGACTCTGCTCTCTCATGGTTCTCCTCCTACTTATCTATGCGCTCTTTTAGTGTCACTTACAATTCTAACTCCTCCCTTCCTCTTCCTCTTTCTGTAGGGGTCCTCCAAGGCTCTGTCCTTGGACCCCTTCTCTTCTCTATCTACACCTCCCCCCTTGGTCAACTAATAACCTCACATGGCTTACAATACCATCTTTATGCAGATAACACTCAAATTTATCTTTCCACAACTCTCCCCCTCAGTGTCCTTGCGTGTCGCTAATCTACTAACTGACATGTCAGTCTGGATGTCACAACATTTCTTAAAACTCAACTTTCAAAAACTGAGCTCATGATATTTCGCCTGTGCACCTTCCCCCAACATTTCAGTTGAGATTGATAACACAACTATCAAAACCTCCCCTCATGCCAAGGTCCTAGGTGTCATCCTTGACTCGGACCTCACCTTTCTTCCCCACATCCAATCGCTATCCAAATTCTGCCGCCTTCACCTTCGTAACATCTCAGAAATACGCCCCTTCCTCACCATCGAAACCGCAGAGCTACTCATCTACTCACTTGTTATCTCTCGTCTTGACTATTGTAACTCCCTCCTCATTGGCCTTCCACTACACAGGCTATTCCCCCCCCTTCAGTCTATCATGAATGCAGCTGCCAGACTGATTCACCTTACCAACCGCTCAGTGTCTGCAACCCCCCTCTGCCAATCCCTACACTGGCTTCCACTCGCCCAGAGGATACATTTCAAAATATTAACAGTCACTTATAAAGCCATCCACAACTCCGCCCCCGGATATAGCTCAGACCTTGTCTCAAAGTATCACCCTAACCGTCCCCTCCGCTCATCCATTGACCTCCTGCTTTCCAGCTCCCCTGTCCACTCCTCCCATACTCGCCTCCAGGACTTCTCTAGAGTCTCTCCCATCCTCTAGAACTCTTTACCCCAACCTGTCCGACTATCTCCCACCTTGACTGCCTTTAGGCGTTCCCTAAAGACTCATCTCTTCAAGGAAGCCTATCCCACCTCAACCTAACCACTGAACCATCATGTTCTCAAATAATTCATCCACACACAGCTACCTCCTCATGTATCATTTCCCCCTTCTCTTTTAGATTGTAAGCCCTCAGGAGCAGGGCCCTCCTTACCATCTTGTCTTGAATTGTATTGTAATTGTAATGTCTTCCTTATATTGTAAAGCGCTGCGCAAACTGTTGGCGCTATATAAATACTATGTAATAATAATAATACTCTAAATCTGCAAACAAGGCCCAGTTATAACGGCTCCCTGGAGTGTTTTTTGTCTTCACATTCAGTTCACACTGAATGTTGTTAATATATTTTATTTAGACATATAACCAGCTCTTTAATTTAAAACTAGACCAGTTTTGTTTAGACTTGTGTTTACCAAAACGGTCCTCACGTCCTATTGGCATTATATGGCCCCAGCTTGTGAATGGACCAGAGGTCACCCTTCTCATCTAATCTTCCCTCTTGTTAGGAAACACTTTGTGTTACAATGACAGTACTGAGGAACTTAGTGGAGGCCTAGTTGGCTTTTAAGTGCTTCTCCCTCTCTATGCATACCTCCCAACTGTTCCTCATTTGGAACCAAAATGCCTCTGTCCCCTCATTCCTCCTCAGGTGTCCTTCTTTTTGGCCTGAAAAATGTCATAGTGATATTCTGCACTAAAACCTTCATCCAATGACTTTTTAGAAAAGTCAGTATAAAGGCAACGTAATAGTGAAAAAATCCAGTTCTGGGTTTAACCAATAATTTTTGTCATATAACTTCTCGATGGCTCTGCATACCTTGGGATGTGGCTAGACATGCGCCATTCGTTTCGTTACGAATCAAAATTCGTACTAATTTTCCTGAAATTCGTAGATTCGTAAGCATACGAAATGCAGTTTCCAAATTTATATCCGAAATACGAAATTCCGTTAACGAATTTCGGATCCGATTTCTTTGAAACAGGAACTAATATTACCCCTGTAAATGAGGTTGAACAACATGACAAGATTTTTTTTTTTTTATCCGAAATACGGATCTGCTGCTGCTGAGGGTTGCATTATAATACAGGCAGGAAATACGAAATTCCGTTGACGTATTTTCATTCCGTTACGAACATTCGTTATATTGAAGGTAAAAAGCAAAGTACATTTATATTGGAGTTGATGGTAGGTTTTTTTTAAGTCCGAAATACGGAATCCGTTAACGGAATTCGTATTTCAGATTAAAAAACAACTACCAAATCGACTCCAATATTAACAAAGGTATTTTTGCTTTTTAACTTCATCATAACGAATGTTCGTAAAGTTACGAAAATGTGCCGAAACTAACGAAAATCCGTATTTCGTACGAATCCGAATTGAGTTTCGGATACGAAATAATGGATATTACGGAACGAAACGGAACAAATTTTTTGACGGCGCACAAGTCTAGATGTGGCAGGGGGTCTGTCTATTGCCTAAATACATTGTTCTGGAAGGTGTCCCACTTTTTCATCTCCCAACATTGGGAGGTATGGTCTATGTAGTACACCCCCCTTTTTTTGTGCTGACTGACTGGAGTTTAGCTTTTAACTTTTATTAATAACTGGATTACATTGTGTATTAACGAGATAGATATATTTATTATTAGTAGTCCTATAGCGCTGATTCACATCAGTCCCCGTCCTCAAGGAGCTTACACTCTAAGGTCCCTATCTCACATTCACACATACGAGGGCCAATTTAGACATTAACCTACCAGCATGTCTTTGGAGTGTGGGAGGAAACGGGAATACCCGGAGGAAACCCACACAAGCACAGGGAGATAGTGACCTTGACCAGGACCCCCAGTGCTACCAGGCAGAAGCGCTAACCACTACGCCACTGTGCTGCCCTATCTGGCAGCTTTGAACCGTTGCCATTAAGATTGCTTTTTCAATTCCATTTTAGTTTTGTATTGCTCTTTCTTTGTTTCACTGAGTCATATGAGCTTTGTCTCCCTTTTTCTTTTCTTTTTTTTTTTTTTTTTAATCTTTATTTCATTTGCTTTTACAAAAATCAATCTTCTAGCAGCTATTGCAGAAGACAGACAGTATGAAAACAATGAGATTAGACCGCTAGAGGTAGACTTTGCCTCAAAGTACCCGAATGTAACCTTATTCTTTTATTGGTATTATATTTTTCTTTTTATGGATCAAATGCCTGAAAATAACGTTATTCTTCATTGGTATTATGTGTTTCTTCCTATGGCTGTGTTCATCTAATGACTTATTCACACTTGTCTGTTATCCTGCCATTAAAGGTTTGTATTTTACTGCCTGAAAATGCATTATAAGTAGAAATCCTGTTCTTTCTCGTGTTGCTAGTTTACATCTATGCACTGCAGCTTGGTCTGGTTGTTTTTGTTTTGTTTTTTTAAGGCCATGTTGCATTTGTGTGCATTTTTGCGCATTAAGCAATTGAATTTATTAAATGCAAATTCTGCAGTTTTGTGTATCTTTAATACATCTGCACAATGAAATATCCTTTTTTTTTTTTTGAAGGTTTCTCCCTCACTTTTGATAGGTTTCTCCCACACTTTTTTTTGGGGAGGGGGGTTTCTGACAGCCGGCGATCCCGATGTCAAGAAAAAATAAATAAATAACATAGCAGGGACAGGTTTACTCTGCTAGATGAAGCAGAGTAAACCTTTCCGGGAGAAAATATTTCTCTCCCGGGTGTCTGGGAGCCGCTATCTTATAGCGGAGACTCCCGCAACATTCGGGAGAGTTGAGCGTGGTGCACTGGCACTTTAGAAGTATTTATTGCACCATATGCACGATTGGCACCTTTTTTGATTAAAAATGTTACACGCAGATTGATTTCGGGGCCCATTCCTGATGTAGGGAGGAGATTCTGTGCCCTTATATAGGGTTCTCTGTCTCCTCCCATCTAGGGGGTCTCTCTTCGGGAGTATAAAAAGTTATGGACACCGGCACTCCAAAGTTTTTGTGTGTTGTGATTTCACAATTCACTTTTTTTGTTCACAGGGGATTTCCTTTTCGAGCATGCTCCATGGGCTTTAAAAAAAAAAGCAGTTTAAGCAGCTACAGCAGCAGCAGGGGTGACAATAAGTGATTTTTCAATGCAAAATAAAAAGTAATGAATGTCTCAGTTTAATGAAACCTGGAATTGGAACACAGTCTCTGCCATATAAATTCATGTTTTGTTTTCCTGATAATAATGTAAAGAAGTAAGTACGTAAACAATCAAACTGGTACCCACCCACTAATTAAAGGGAATACTTTTGGCACATGTATATTAGAAGACTATATTCAATCATACATATGTTACAATTTGATCAGAGGAAAGAAGAAATCTTCCACTTCAACTATCCCATATTCCATTGGTTTAGGTCATACCAGGTAAAATATACTACACACAATGCAGTCTTCAAATGATTCAATTAAAATAATAGAGTCCATGTTTGCAGATCAGATGTAATTCTTTACTTACCCTCTATGGCTAATAGTCACGTATGAAGCTGACATTTTCTAGCTGATATACCAAATGTGCCTTCTCAGAATTTTTATCTTTGATTGTACTGCTGAAAAATGTCATACTGCTTCTAAACATAACGTTCTCAAAAACTAAATATATAAATAAATACATACTGGTGTGTGTGTGTGTGTGTGTGTGTGTGTGTGTGTGTGTGTGTGTGTGTTGTTGTTTTCAAAGATATGGGTGACGGTCCGCTTTAATTTTTTACAGGAAACAAATGTTTTACCTCCATGAAAGTCCCTGTTGGGACACTTTCTTTGAAAGGGTAACAGAACTTAATCCCCGTTTCCAAGTTTTGCTGCTGTGTTG